TGATGTAGACCAATTTGTGTTTATAAATGTGGCTACCCCTCCTCCATATTTTTTCTTGGAACTATTTCTATCTTGGCGAAAAACTTTATATCCATTTATTGAAACTAGATTATCATCATAATGCTGGTGCAGCCAAGTCTCTTGTATTGCTAAAACGCCAGCATTTCGATAAACATTGGAATACATTAGGGATTGAAGGTAATCCATTTTGTTGGACAGGGATCTACAATTAGTGCTAACGAGTTCAGGAACAGTCATTTGATTAATTTGTGTACGTTTCAGTGCACGCTGCCAGCCACAGTGATGCTTTTTTCTCAATTTTTGTGGATGACACAACGCGGTAGGTTGTAATGATTTTAAAAATGCGCGATTATATATAATACGATTAGGACACATTATTGATAAATTAAAACAAAATTAAAAGAGCAAACCAAAGCAATTTTGCAAAATGTTGTAAGGTGGAATTTTTGGTAGCCCTATGTTCAAGTAGGCCGCCTTATGAATATTGAGGTAAGTACGGCGTTTACAAGGGATTGAAAGCTGTTTTAGAATAGTTAAAGTGCTAAGGTGAATCATTAAAGTGTGATAAAATAAGTAAGTGCAATATGTCATTAATAAATACATCTATATAGGAAACAGAATGGGGAAGTAATTAATCCTTAGTCCGACAGCGTTCATTTGCAATGTATATTAGTACCCATATAGTTCGTACTATCATGATGTCCTCTTTAGGCTTTAATATAATTGTTCTCAAGCCAGTTGTTTTTATTTCATGCCTTTTTGTTTATTTGATGCACTACCGTACCTTACAGAGAATAGGAATAGAATAAGTCGAATCAAATTCATAAAGAGGTATAAAATGTTAGGTTTAGTGGAATATAATGAGGATCGAGTAAAGACGTTATTAGAAAATGAAGGAGATAAGACATTGTGATGTGGTATCCATAGATCTGACAGTGGATAGCAAGTTAATTTATGAGATGCCCCATAAATCTGTGCAGAGTTCACGTGGTCGCATCTCAACAATAGGCTGAGCGAATGGTATATATTTAAAGGTAGAAGCATGATCTGTCTAGGCGTTCATTATTATCTTTTTCAAGATAAAGATCTAAGCCCTCATAAAAATCAGAAATATCTCGAGCCTTCAAATTGCATATTGCTGTTCCTGCAGAATGGGGCGATTCACCTTAGTAACCATCACCATATCTACTGATCATCTGGCGCCACCCTCCCTCCTTTTTCGATGTTAGGCTCTGAGACTATGATTATTATGGTTACCGCAAATATATTGCTTGGTACCAGACATGTTCGTACCTCATATTCCATCTCCTTAGCCTTCTTAATGAGTGCTTCCAATAGGTCTCCACGTACATCTTTATGAACATATTGTATATGTGTGCATGCGTCCTAATGAACAGATTACTTTGTAAGAAGTTAAAAACTTAAAGGGTAAAAAGAATGGGTTTTGTGAATATTGGAGCAAGATTCAGCGGAACACTATAGTTAGGTCAAATAAAGTATAATTATATTTTAATAGTTTACACACAACTACAGTTAGGGTTCAATGTAGGTAGTATGAGCTGAAGGTAAGGTCGGTTGGTAGGACTTAGTGTACTGAATTGTCATGACAGTCATATATATAGTAAACATTTGACGTCGCAAAGTAACCTATCTACACTTATTATAAAAGGATGTTAACACTGAACCAACAAAAATTTAGCATCTGGTTAACAATACTGCAGAAGGGTTGTCAGCCACGTCTCGTAAACCGTTAATGCCCAGCTCTTGCTACGCTCGGGCTCACGCTGTTCCTTGAAGTTTTTCAGAAACGCTTAGTAATAACGGACGCAAAAACCAAAACACCGATTGGCCGCTTGAGAATTCTTTATTGTAACACCAACATATAAAAAATATTTCTACTAAGGTCTGTGAACAAATATTACAATAATAAATTACGATATTACTTCTGACGGTTTATTGCTGACTTCTTTCTGAACAGCGACCGATGAGACGATGACTGTCGTATTGATGCCTCCGCGAAAATTGGGGAAGTTGGTTTTGAGCAAACAACCATGAATTGATCGTTCAATCTTCAACTACATTGACAAGGGTAGTTAGTTTTACGGGTAGCCGTAAAGTAAACCAATCTACATATGATAAGAGTATGATCAATATTATAATTCGTATTATCAAAGAATACAATAGGCTCAATAATTGAGTGTTATAAGGGAAACAAGCGTGGTAAAGCAAGAGAACATTTGCTACATAAATATTTTAATCATTTTAAGTATTTTAATAACAATATAATTTTAAGAATTGAACATGCATGATTAATAATAATTATTATTATATTAGTATATACATATGTAAAATGGTAAAAGGTGTGGATGCTATTATAATTATTTCCAGGGTTACTTTTACCAACACAACTTAGTGAAGATTACAGAGAATATAAATCAGTAAAATAGTTAACGTTCGCTGCGTAAGTATTAGAGTCGAGTTATACGTATGTGACTATACTGAAGACTGGACTGGCCTTCAATTTCCGTTCTGTCAACAGTTGTGGTCTTTTAGACGGGCTGGGGTGGACATGTTAAAGTATCTTTCTAGGCTCCGTTTGAACCCATCGGGGTTTTCATAACATCTTATTTCAGGTGGTTGTTGGTTCCAAATAGTGCAATATTTTATGGTGAAAATGTTTGCCCTAATGGATTTTCTGTGGGTAGCCACCTTGATAAGGTAGTCGTGGTTTCGCAGCTGATATGATTTAATATTTTCCCACGTTATGGATGAGTTACTGTAGCAACGTTTCCTAATGACTTTGAAGAGTAGAAAGAAGTTGCATTTCACTCTCCTTAACCACAGAGGTTCTAATCTCAGACGTACACGCCTGTCAACATATTCCACTTGTTGGTCGAACCATATTATGCGTTTCGTGAGGAATCTCTGGACACTTTCTATTTTTTTCTGTCTGCAGACCTGAGGTCACTAAATAGGAGAGCACAATATTCAAGTTTGGGACGGATACATGTCCTATATATAGCTAATCTTGCTTCTTGGGTGTAGAAGTTACGCAGTACAAAGCCAGTAAGTCGTTTACAGCCAGACACAACCTTATTCGCATGATTGGAAAAGGATAAATCTGAGTTTAGTTTTCAGAGGAGCTTGCCGTACATATATAGGCGCATTATCGGTTTCCAGCCTCCAAAGTGGGTTATACCGCACTTGTCTGTGTTGAAAGTCAGTTGCCACTTTTCGCTCCAATCGCCTAGATCGTTTAAGTCTTGCTGGATCTTGCTTTCGACGCTCATATCATCGTACCCATAATCATATACTATCTTGAGATCATCTGCAAAAAGGTATGGCTTGCCATACTTGATTACAGAGACTGTGTCATTTATAAATAAGAGGAATGGAATAGGGCCAAGAACACTACCTTGTATTACACCACTGGTTGTAGGCTTTGAGGAAGACAGCTGGTAGTTGATCTTGACTAACTGCTCTCTTTCTGTGAGAAAAGAACTTATCCATTTGAGAAGTTTTCCGATTATTCCGTTGGATTGGAGTTTTGTTAGGAGTCTGATATGTGGGATTTTATTGAAGGCCTTGCTAACGTCGAGAAACAATGTTGTTACCAAACGCCCATTATCAATGCACTGTGTAATGTAGTCAAAATAATCTAAGTGGCAGGTAACGCACGACCTTCTACCTAAGAAACCGTATTGGGATGGGGATAGTAGGTCGTTTGACAGCAAGTACTGAATGATTTGAGTCTTTACTATCTTTTCCATTACACGTGAAACTACAGACGTGATGTTGATGGGGCGGTAGTTGTTGATATCAGCTATAAGCCCGTATTTATGGATAGGTACAATATAAGACTTCTTCCAGCAGTTAGGGTGTGTCATATCGCTTAATGAATTTGAGTATAACTTGAGTAAGAGTAAACTCATGTACTTACCACCTTTTTCCAGCAGAACGGAAGATATACCGTCTGGACCAGTAGTGTTACTAAGCTTAAGATTTGCGACAGCTTTGTCGACACTTCAAAAAAGGTTTGATGAGTTTACAAAGGATCTCGAGTATCAAGAAAGTCGTCCCGAAGACATCATAAGGCAGATGAACTTCTAAAAGAGGAATTTCCTGAGGATGCCCTGGTCATGAAAAAGTCCAGAGAGGTCCGCGAAGCTCCAGAGCGTCTGAAGGATCTGGTTAAGAAACGACAAGAAAAGCTTCTGGAACCCTATGAGGTACAGTGCTTCTTTAGAAACACAGATAAAGCTGTGTCGTGGGTGAATGAAAGGTCCATTCCTTTATCCATTGAGGACTGTGATCGTGATCTTGCCTCAGTCCAAGCCTTATAAAGGAAGCACGAAGCATTAGAAAGGGCTTTGACTGCCCTAGATGAAAAGATTGTTCAACTCGGAGATGATACTAAGGCGCTTGCACAGAAGCATCCTGAGTCGCAGGACACTATACAAGGCAAGTATGACGCCTTAATTACTACATGGGAGAAGTTGAAAGGTCAGGCTGTAGGTAGGGGAGGTAAACTGAAGAGTCATTCAAGATTATATGAAAACGTTAATATCGGCGGATGATTTGGCAAAGGACGTAGCTGGTGCTGAAGCCCAAGTAGAGCGACATAAGGAATACACCTCTGAGATAAATTCTCGAGGCGACAGTTTCGATACATGCATGCAAGAAGGTCAGGCATTATAAGTATTGTCCATCCCTGTAGTGGAGAGATAGATACTAAACTTTCTACTCTCGAAAGAGAGAGAGCCTCTCTGATGCAGTTGTGTGAGGAAAGACGTGAACAGCTAGAAAAGTGTGTGGGCCTCCAGTATTTTTACAGCGACGCTGAACAGTCGGAATCTTGGATTGGTAAGCAAGAGTCCCATTTAGAGATAAAGGATGCGGGAGACTCACTCAATTCTTTGAAGGCACTCATAAGGAAACATGAAGACTTCGAAAAGTCACCTTAAGCACAAGAAGAAAAGATGCGACATCCTGATGAATTCGTTACAAAATTAATCGAATCAAATCACTGTGCAGCTGTACAGGTTTATGAGATTCAGGAAGGTCTTCAAAATAGACGAAATGTGTTAAAGAAGAAAGCTCAGAACCGCCGTCAGCATCTTGAAGACTCCCACCGTTATCAAATGTTCGATAGAGATGCAGATGAAATGCAGACATGAATATCAGAAAAACTTAAGAATGCACTTGATGAAAGTTACAAAGACTCCACGAATTGGCAAACAAAGGTGCAGAAGCATCAGAATTTCGAGGCAAAAATACAAGCCAACCAATCATGCGTTGAAGATAATATAGAGCCAGGTCAGGATTTGTTAAATGCACGCCACTACAACCAGTCGTACACCCCGTTGTCCCCCACACAGACGACTTAAACATCTGGAGAGAGCTGAAGTACTACAGTGACACGCTTAAGTTTCAAGGAGACCTCAGCAAACTTCAGAGCGTTCCATTGAATGGATGCTCCCTATCAATGTAGCGAAATATTCAACCATGCGCATTGGATACACAAGCATCAGCTCCTACGAGCTGGAGAGAATGATACTCCCATCAGTTCAGACTCATTTGGATTTAGGTTTCATAGTACGTCACGATTTAAGATCTAAAGCCCACTATCGCGCGGTGGCTGCGCGTAGTTTCAGATCCCTATGGGCTATTCGCAGAACCTTAACTATTATCATAAGAGATGTGTTCACCTCCTTATACACAACTCTGGTGAGATGAAGACTGGAAAAATATATCCAGGCAGCCAGCCATTGTCTTACTTTTATTATTTTATTTTTATTCCATTATAGCTTGATTCCACACAATATTTTGGTGCAAGTATGGAATTTTCAGCACGTGACATCGGTAGCCAAAATTTGGCAGGCCGACCATTGATATCAGGTGCGAGTCAGCAGGGGATCATTCCCGGATCATGTGCACAGTCGGCGAGCGTGCTTACCGCTGCGCCACCGACGCACATATCCTAGAAAGGGTTAAAAGGAAGGCAACACGTATGATTCTCAGGATGGCTAATTTATCACGCAAGAAAAGACCAAACAGTTTAAATCTCTTATCCATATCAATCGTAGGCAGAGAGGAGATTCCATTACAATGTTTAAAATTTTAAATAATGACTACTAACCTGACCAGATGGCTTTTCCTTCCCACCAGGTTGGAGCATCTTAGATGACATGGCAGGAGGGATCAGAAGCCAAGGAGAAACCACAATGCTATGGAGAACTTGTTTTCATGAAATCATAAATTCCTGGAACCAACTCCCAGAAGAAGTGGTGTCTGCAACCTTAACTAATTCATTCAAAAAGGTTTTAGACAAGCACAGAAATTTACAAGAAAAGTATTAACACGGGCTTTAAACCTTCTATCGTAAACCAATAAATCTGAACCTGAAATCTGAATCTGACATACATGCTGAATCAATGAATCATCGTACCGGGTGATTTGGATGTTGTAATTCCGCCCGAATTAAAGTGTGTTGGCTTGGTACCTGTAGGTTGCACGTCTCCTAATTAAAAGATCACATAGTTTTATCAACGTGGAGCGGTAAAAATTCAACATGTAGGAATTTATTTTTTATGAGCATCTTTTACAAAAATCTTGTGAGAAGGAAGGGTTTGTGTGGAAGTAATAATGTATAACAGTGAATATATTCACTGTATTTGTCCATTTCTTTTTCACGGTTGAAACCTTAATAGTGATGGGGAGAGTTTTTGAGCCAGAAATTTTATTTTCTCAATCCATCGGTCTAAATGATGTTTTTCGTGACCTGATCAGGTCAATTGAAAGGATGCCTACTACATTTGATAGAGCGGTGTATCTTTCGAAGATATTTGGATCTCGTAGTAGTTTTCCATCTTTCATGAGGAACACCTATTTTCCACGGAGGTTATTCTCCGGAACTTTTCAAAGTTCTTCAACATGTAAGGTCTCTCACATGTACCAACACTTATAAGGCATGAGTACTAACTTTGAATTCCCACATTTACTAGTCGCAAATTATAGTTCATTAACAGCTGTTTAGTATTCCCCTTCTAAAACTATTCATGGGGATAGTGAGACCATATGAACAAGATTACCTTATAATCGGTACGACTAGCAAAACGAACAACCCATTTCAATTATTGACATTGCTTGCATGACGATTAAAATATTTGTCCTCTTAAAATCCAAGAGCCTTTATACTTTAAGCTGGTTCCAAATATGCTGCATTTGAGTCACCCTCATACCTAACTTTCATATCTTTAGGAATGGGTTGTTTTTGTCGAAATGTAACAGTTATTAGTGGTCCATACTTGTCAGAGTAGTATAGTGTCACACTTCCTTATTTTTGGATGTTTCTAGTTCTCATTTTTCTCACCTTAAACTCCAGGGTTTTTCAGTAGTCTAGTTCAGTCTTATTTTTTGTACTTGGTTCTGTGGAAATTTTCCAGTTTTTATAAAAGCTAATATTCAGGCAGAAAAATCAAAGTCCTTACAGAGGACTTGAGAAAGGCGGAGTAAAACATGTCGCAATCAGGTTATACGAGTAATTCATGTATTATAGTCATAATAGGAATGCCAACAAAGTGCACAAGCTTAGCGATGCTGTTCTTGTAACACTGACTTTCTGGATTTCGTCTCAGTTCCCTAAGGTAAAAAAGCCACCAAAAGTCTTAAGTCTGTGAATACATAATAGTGTATGGGAAGGTGAAACGATATGCAAAAACAGGAAATATTTGGGATTGAGCCACACCTTTTGTTTGAGGGTTATTGATACTACTCGTTTGCTCAGATCTTGATAGGTAGAGTAGGCGTTTTCAACCAGTGATGTTTTCTGTAAGTCGAATGCCTAAACTATTGAGCCACATCAATCCTTAGAATTTATCTCATTGGTTTAATTACTCTATCTCTGAAGCAATGAGTCCCAAGCTGGAGCACTTGTCCACTTTGTAACTGAACCACCAGATAGTGTCGTATGCCCACATATAAAATGTGGTTTACAATTCAGCACCAAACAGTTGAGTTGCGGTGTTGTATGCTGCGTTTCTTGAGGCTAATGTAGTACAAAGTTCCTTTCGGTGTTTAAATTATCTACTAAGTTACTAACTATTTGTGTGAGTTGGGTTTGGTATTTTGACATTGTGTGTTATATTTATCAAAAAGAATTGTGATCGCAAATTTTAAAGAAAGTATTTTGCTCCTTCATTTATTTCACTTTTCCTTTTGCTTCTCACGACATCTATTTTGGTTGAATCTGCTTTTCCACCTTTATACATCTACATTTTTATAGTCATATAATTGATGTAGCAACGTGACAAGTCTGCAGAATTCACCCTAGAGGTGTTAGAAAATCCTTCAGCTTAAATTCATAGACTTGCTGGTACAAGAATATCACCAGAATAAAAAGCAAAACATTTGCTGGCCGACTGGATCCAAGTGGACGGTCGTTTTTTGCTATCTGGTTGAATAGGTTCGTAGAAATAAGAAAAGACCATGATGCTTGATGACGCCCTACAAACTAGGCGCACAGATATATGTTCCAGTAGGAAACTGGAGGCACTGCTGAAGTACGTTAAAGGTGTCTATATAATGCCATCTACGAGCTGACAACTACGGTTTTTACCAGTCCTCTTCAGATAACTACCTATGCCTGAATAGCACTGGTCTCCAACATAAATAGACATTTCGTCATTTGGTGACCGCCAACATCAAATCAACGTTGGGCACCTAGCCGCAAGTCACCGATGAGTAGTGTTTCTAGAAGTCTCCTCCTTCTTGAACAACCATAAAGACCGATCGCGTAGTAGTTTTCTGCGACTGAAGAGATAATAAAGACAAGCAACTACAAAACTTTTACGTTTCTAGATTCTCCATGAAAACAAATTCTATATTTAGGGGAGAGATTATCATATATTTGAGCGTTATAATAATGCCCATCCCGAGGAGGCCTTGCTATGTATCCATTGTGCCACAAAAACAGAAGTAAAAGCTGTTGACGGTCTGCAGCTAGTTGTTGATAAACGCCAGTGGATTACGGCAGTTCCATCTACACTGGTCCTAAGGGACTCCGAAAACCACAAGGAGCTACAAATGCTCAAAAGTAAGATAACTAAGAGTCTTCGCAGCTACTGCGAATAGTATTGGGGACTTGATATCGAATTAAATAAAAGACAATAATTAAAATTTATCAGGTATTTAAGCTTATTAAGGAAACCAACACCAAAACAGATATATAATTGGAACTGTCCCCTTGAGATTGGGACCATAATACCTCAGGGGTGACGTCTTTAACAGTTGGTGAAAGAGTTTAATTAGCCTACAGCTGCACTGTATTTGGCTATCATTCTGCCTCAGCCAAAATGAAATGTAGACGCTTGTTGTTTAACTATAGCATAGCTGTTTCTCGACTGAGTACAAGCAAAACAACAGGGTCTGATGAAATGACTTCATTAATGTTCAAGGATAGGTACACTAGTTAAGGTACTAGCTGGTGTATGGGATTTCGAGGCGGTTCCATCAAGCTGTTTTAAATCACTGACCATTCCAGTTTATAAGAAAGCAAAAGGAAGTGCTTCCTGTGGTAATCGAAGAGGGCATTAGCTTGATTAATATAACATCTAAAATTGCACGTCCGAAATTCACGTGCAGACGAAATGTCCTACAGAAAAGGGCCCGTAAAAACTATTTAGGCTTTATCGAGGATGTGGTCATATTTCCACCACTCGATAGACTTTTGGACATAGTCATACTAATCAGCATCCAACATTTGTTGTATTTCTTCATCCGAATGTCGACATTAAAGTTCATCTTTCGATAAGTGCCTTAGCTAAGTTTGGGTGTGAAGTAAGTTCTGAAGAAACATATTATACCAATCAATGCACTCTACTCAAATTTTATTATTGAAATACTAGTCGAGGTGGCTCTGGTTGGCTTTGATGTTTTTGGAGTACTGCAGCTACCTGGAGCTGATTTTTCATGTATCTAGCGATAAGCCACACCTAATTTGTGAGGACTGACGATATTAACCAGCTGTCCTAGCTGAAGTAGTTGGAGCAAGATTCAAACTGTAGACTAACAGGCTAGAAGTCGACTGCTTCAGCCAATGAGACAAATCTCAACGCTGATGTCTAGGTATTCTCTTGCTAACAGAGAAGAGTGTCGCTGATTTCTGGTCTTTTTTGGGGGGAAAGACTCCCATAAAATATGAAACCTTTTATTAGTATTTCAGTATGTTTGACATGCCGTCCAACTCTGTCATATGTAAGTTGATACTGCGGGACTAGTCTGTAGGGACTCCCACATTGAGGTTGGAAAATAAGTGGACTTAAACTTCACTCAGTTGGTCATCAATCTACAAAGTTATTGACTCTTTTTCTGAGCTACATACAGAAGTGTATAAACTGCGTGGGTGGTTTCCTCCAAATGATAGGCATCAGTGGTTGGAAATTCTCTGTGACAGTTCAAAATTCTTTACAATAGTGTGTAAATGTATTCACGTGGGTGCGTACCGATGAAGAGTCCCAAACCAGGACAAAACATATGTCCAATACTCCCAGGTCTGATGAAATCTTGTAACCAATCGATCAAAATCCCTACAAACCAATACTTGAATATTCACGTCTTGTCAGTGTGTTTTAATTTTTTGACTATCGTGTTATCCTAAACCGGTAGCAATGACTAAAATATATGCATTTTAAATATTCGTTGTAAGAATGCAACCCATTAGGCCTTATTTTTCAAAATCATTTATTCTACTTTATTGCTTCTGTTGATTTTTCTTCCCTATAATTTTTCAAGTTGTAAATCCTCGAACTTCCCATCTTCAATGCTAGAATGTGCTTTGTTTCACAATTTTCTAGATAGGCACGAGACTGTCCGATGTTTTTTTTTCAGTTGGTTTAAGCTGCTTGGTTTACAGTATTAATATTATTGAATTATTGATTAAAGGATATTCAGCCAATACTGTTCCTAACTTTTGTCTGATTCTCTTTTCTTTTTGTTTGTTGTTTGTATTTATAGTGCCTTTGGAGGTCAACAACTTCCGAAATGGGCAAACTATTTTCTAAGCTTTTTGGAAGTAAAGAGATGCGTATTCTGATGCTAGGCCTTGATGCTGCTGGGAAAACAAGTACTTATATTTAATTTTAATTCTTATAATCATGTTTACAGCTATTCTTTACCGATTAAAGCTTGGATCAAGTGTCAGCACCATTCCTACAGTTGGTTTCAATGTTGAGACTGTAACTTATGGCAATGTGAAATTTAATGTTTGGGTAGGTGAAATTATGAAGCTAGTCGTGTTGAGCCATTCCATCACCTCTTATTTCTTTTCTCTCCATAGGATGTTGGTGGTCAAGAAAAAATCAGACCATTATGGCGTCATTATTTCACTGGAAGTCAAGGTCTTATATTTGTTGTGGATAGTTCAGATCGAGATAGAATAGAAGAAGCCAGGCAACAATTACATCGGATAGCTAATGATCGAGAAATGGAAGATGCTGTTGTCCTGGTGTTTGCAAATAAGCAAGATCTTCCTAATGGTATGTTTTATTAAAAAATATGTTTTTGGGAGACATGAAGGCTGATTATATAGATCGTATCTTCTTACCCTGTGTGAGAGACAGTAAAATGAGATTTTTTTTCCTGAAATCCACTTTGTTTTCTACTTAGAGGACACTTTTTTATGCAGACGATATAGTCCTTCTAGGCGAGGATGCTGACAAAATGCAGAGTCTTCTGAACACACTGAGCTGCAATCTACAAATGTTTGGCATGCGATTCGCTCCCTCTGTGAAATGTAAGATGATGTTACAGGACTGGACTACACTGACTCCTAGTTTAGAAATAAGGGGTGAAGTGGTAGAGCACGTTGACCTCTTCACTTATTTGGGAAGTACCCTCAGACCCATCAGTTTGATCTCTTACGAAATCTCAACACGGATACAGAAGGCTAATTTGGCATACGCCAGTTTACGCCGTCTCTGCCTTAGTAAACGTGATATCCGGCTTTCGACCAAAGGGTGGGTGTACTGCTCATCAGTCCGCTCCGTCCTCCTTTATGGCTGTGAGACCTGGCCATTGACAGTGGAAGACATGAAAAGATTAGCTGTCTTCGATCATAGGTGCCTGATCATTCTATCTCTTGTGTCAAGTGGTGTAATAAGGTGAGCAATATTGAGGTTAGGCGTCGAGTGGTAGGTAAGGAGAGAAAATCAATCGACTGAGATGGTTAGGACATGTGTTACGCATGCCTAGTCATCGCCCTCCTCGACGGTCACTGTTATCTGACAAGCCAGGCTGGAAAAGAGCTAGCGGCGGTCAAACCAAAACATGACACCAGTTAGTTTAAGCCACGTAGGAAGGTGTAGACTTCATGGTTGAGGTCCTCGGGACGGTAAAAACCAATGGTTGGAAATAATTGGTGATATGGCTCAAAATCGTTCTCAATGGTTGGTACAGATGCATCCACTCCTTGTAACTTATGATTTCCAAAGAAACTATATTGTTCTTCGTTATTACTATTCCTTTGTCTCACACCTCCGTTTACTGTCCCTATTATGCATTTCTTCTCTTGCTTTGTGTGCTACATGGAGTGTGGTGACTTGAACTTCCGCACATTGGTGCAAAGTTCTATGTCGAAAACAGACAGACAGAGGACACTTTTGACAGTATTTATTATTATTATTCCCTTAGGTTCCGAGTGGAACATACGGCTTCAACAACACATCTCCACTTTCCTCTATTTTCTGCTGTCCTCTTCAGCCGAATAGCTTCACGATTGCCCATAATCTCTCATCTCATTTAAAAATAGGAAGTGAAGTGGTAGAGCACGTTGACCGCTTCACTTATTTGGGAAGTACCATCAGCCCCAACGGGCTGATCTCTGACGAAATCTCAGCACGAATACAAGGGGCTCGTTTCGCATTTGTTAATTTACGCCGACTCTGGCGTAGACGAGATGTTCGACTATCGACCAAAGGGCGGGTGTACTGCTCATCAGTCCGCTCCGTCCTCCTTTATGGTTGTGAGACCTGGCCACTGAGAGTGGAAGACATGAAAAGACTAGCTGTCTTTGATCATAGGTGCCTGCGTTCTATTTCCCGTGTAAAGTGGCATAATAAGGTGAGCAACATGGAGGTTAGGCGTAGAGTTCTAGGTAAACAGGGGAAATCAATCGACGAAGTCGTGAAGCTACAAAGACTGAGATGGTTAGGACATGTGTTACGTATGCCAAGTCATCGCCTCCCTCGACGAGCAATGTTAGCGGATATAGGGTCAGGCTGGAAAAAAGCTAGCGGCGGTCAAACAAAAACTTGGCATCAGTCAATGAAATCCACAACAGTTGGTCTAAGCCACGTAGAAAGGTGTAGACTTCCAGGCTGGGGTCCTCGGGACGGTAAAAATCTATGGTTGGAAACAATTGGTGACATGGCTCAAAATCGTTCTCAGTGGCTGGCGCAGATGCATCCACTCCCTGTGACTTATGATCTCCAATGAAACTGTTTTGTATTTCTTTATTACTCCTTTGTCTCACACCTCTGCTCACTGTTTCTATTATGCTTTTCTTGTACTTTCTTCTCTTGCTTCGCGTGCTACACGGAGTGTGGCGACTTGAACTTCCGCACATTTGTGCAAAGTTCTATGTCGAAAACAGACAGACAGAGGACACTTTTGTCAGTATTTATTATTTATTATTATTATTCCCTTAGGTTCCGAGTGGAACATACGGCTTCAACAACACATCTCCACTTTCCTCCATTTTCTGCTGTCCTCTTCAGCCGAATAGCTTCACGATTGCCCATAATCTCTCATCTCCCCTCACACGGTCTCCTCCATGTCACCCTCGCATCGACGACCTACTCCCTGTTTCCCTCTTGGATTCCACTCGGGCGATGGCCTTCATTACGCGCGATGTCATTCGACGGCTTCCTCAGTGGTGTGCATGCCCGATCCATCTCCACCTTCTCTTATACATTTGTTCAGTGGTCAGCTCTTGCTCAGTTGGTTTGTCGCCAGCCAGTTTCTTGTTTCTCATTCTTTCTGGACATATGATCTTCAATATGGAGCCAGCCAGTAAAGGGGGCAGCTGTGGATAAAAGTCTGCAGTAGCCTGTTGGAAATCTTTTTCGTGATACATGTGCAATGCAAGTTTCTGACCCACATAGAAGAAGTGATTGATTGACTGCACATTTTGTATTGGAAATCCGAATGGTGGCTGAGTGCAGTGTAGAAGATTTCCAAACTGGTTTCTGGTTGATGAAGGCGTATATTTCCTTTCCGACTCTGGCTGGCTGGCTTTGACATCTTCATTCGTTCCAACTGCCTGTGGTTGAAGCCGTCCTGGATGCCTATATAGGTGAAGGAAGTCACTTCTGTCAAATTTCTCCCTGTGGTGGTTTTTGTTTGTGTTGGTTTATGTTATTTTATATTTTATTATAGCTTGATTCCACACAATATTTTTATACAAGTACGGAATTTTCAGCATGTAATATCGGTAGCCCAAATTTAGCAGGCCAACCGTTGATATCAGGTGTGCGTCGGTCGAGGATCAAACCCCGAACCGTGTGCGCACGGTGGTCGGTGAGCTTCCTAACTGCTGTACCACCGACGCGCAAATACTCTGTCCGAAGGCAGTGCTGGAAAAAATGAGGCAAAACTCATTGTCTTGTGCCTCCCCACGGAAATCTTTTGGTAAAAGGAGAAAGATTTATCTGCAAATCAAGAGACATGAGAGTTATATTGGTTATCTTCATCACCTCTGTCTTCTCTATGTTTTATTTGCTCGGTAATGATTTATCGTTGGGTGCATTGTTCCTTAATGTCCATATAGTTTAGTTATTATGCACACACAATGAACTACAATTCTAATCTTCTTTACAAGTATCCAAAAAGTCAGAAAAATGAGTCACACTTGAAGATTCATACCCCAAGCATGAATACGGTTTATAGGATATAAAGCATCACATATTGCCTATACAAAGGAGATAGTTGCAATGATTTTAAACGTAATAAAAACCTAAGGGTTGTCCATCTGTATGTGAGCGATTGTCATAGTAGTAGTCTCTTCGTTATTTTTCTTTAAAACAAAAATAATCTGGTATTTAGAATAATGATTTCTGTGCTTCATGCATCACCTACGTCCGAATATCTGATAGTGGATTACAGTATTACCATTATTCTCTTGGGTTCCGGGTGGAACATAGGACTTCAACAGCACATCTCCATTTTGTCCTGTTCTCTGAAGTCCTCTTCAGTTGACCCCACGACTTCCTCATAAGCTTTCATCCCTTCAACATACGATCTGCTTATTAACGCCGAACTAATGCCAGACTTTTCGTTACCCACTTGGGTTCCACTCGAGCGATGGCATGGATTGCGCGCGATTTCACCTGACGGTCTCTTCAGTGGTGTTTATCCAAGCCATCTCCATTTTCTCTCACATATTTGTTGAGTAATAGGTTCTTAATTGGCTTGTTCCCAGAGTTTCTTATTGTGTCAACTCTTCCTGACCACAGTATGAAGACAGCAAAGGTGGCAGCTGTTGATAAAAGTCTACAGTGGCTTGGTGGAAATGCCTGTCGTGAAGCACGCACAGTGTAAGTTTCTGACCCATATAGAAGAATTGACTGACTGACTGACTTAACATTGTTGTAGAAAATCTGAATTTTTCTTCTTTATATTGACTGCAGATGTCAAGATTTCATAGTGATGTGGGCCTGTCCTGCCCTCCTGATTCTGGTTTCCACATTCTCATGTGTGCGACGTGCCCGTAGTTGGAATAGTGCTTCCTAGATAAGCGAAGAAAGTGACTTATTGGTTCGTTGTTCATTTTCATCAACACTCCGTTTATTTGAAACTCTATCCTTGTTACTTCTGTCAGTTTGTTGGTTCTCACCTGTAAGTCTTCTAGTTTGTGTGACAACAGATATAAATCACCCGTGAAATTCAGATTTTCTGCCCTTTTCTTATCGGTTCAACGTGTTCCTGTTTTCTTGTTCCCCACTCACAGTCTTCCGCACTATCCAGTCCACCAGAATTATGAATATCATCGTCATTGATAGTGGTAGGCAGCCTTGTCTTACTCCTGTATGCACTTCAAAGGGTTCCCCTCTGAGTTTTCCGTTGTGGATCACCTGACACGTGACATTGTCATACAGCCAGCTGTTGTTGGATGAGGTTGATAAAGATTTTGGCACTGCATGCCGTAGAGTTGAAGCAGTTTCCAAATGACTTCGTGGTTAATGCCGTCGGTCTTTTAAAGATCTACGAAATTGAGGTAGAGATTTAGTCACCATTCTATGCTCTACTCGATGATGATGCACAGAGTTATAATTTGATCAGCATATGGTTTGCTTTTCCTGAATCCAACTTTTTCTGAGAGAAGTTCTTCATCCAATGCATCTTTCACTCTCTGCAAGATGATGCATGAATAAGAGCGTGATTTTGCACCAATTCTTGCAGACCCCCTTCTTTCGTAGTATGACAAGATGGCCTTTCTTTCAATCAGTAGATGCGTTTTCTTCCTAACAAACTTTTTGTA